CTAGCAGAGGCAATTCGCGTGCTAGGTAGACGTAATCTGCCACGCTGTTCACCTGTTACTAGTGTTCATGGTCAGAAACCCCTCCATCAATTTGAAACAGAGGGGTTTTATTTTTTTGTGATTTTTGAGCATATTTTGCCGAATGGCTGTGAAGCTATTCTGGCGTCGTTATCGGTGTCCTGTCCTCAAGGTTAGTACTGTCATTCAGCTGAGAATAGTTTTTATAGTAGTGAAGTTTGAAGTTCTTTTCAACGAATGTTTTTCAATATTATGTATTGTTCTTTGTTATAGGCAAGAAATTATACCTCACAGGACAGGGTTCTTCATGAATTATGAAGATAAGGAAATTAAGCCAGACCAGTTGTATTTCCTTCCTGGTCTGGCATATTATTATTATATCGGGTGGACTCCCAGCATCTAAAGTTGCTCCTGAAAGTATCTCAAGGTTAACATTCAACACTTGTCGCACTCTTTAAGTAATTGGAATGTATCAAAATCGGATCACCATGATGCGGTTATTTTAAGAGAAATATATTCTTATCATCGGAAAGTTTGACTGTAAAGTTTTTCAGACACATGAAGGGTTATGCTTTTGACCCTTCGGCTACAGTTTTAGAAACATCAGGGCACGAATTTTTCTCAGCGTTAGGAAGAATCTAAAAGGTTTGTTAGGAAATGTTCACTTTGTCATTTTTATCCTACCGATTCTGCTCTATAAGCACAGCAAAATAATGATCAAATTTTTAAAATCACTATTAGGTCGTAATTGTGTTGAAAGGATGGGATTCTTAAAATGAGTTAACTTTAGGAAGTTCCCAATTTGGGAATTAATTTTAATATATATCTGAAGCTTGGAATGATTCGAAAGGAGTTTGTATAGTTTCAATTTGAACAATAATGAGACTCTTAGAAAAATATTAGGACGTTTTATTGAATTTTTTTTCAGAATCCATATTTTATGATTACTTAACGAAGAGTAATTCGAGTCGTGCATTCGCTTTAAATTGCTCTTCTTTTTCGTAATCGATTAAATCAAATAGTATTTTTAGATCAGCCATGGTGTTCAAAGTAGTGAATGCATGGCCTTTCTGGAGAGCACTCTCCTATACATCTCGCTGTCTAGAAATACATTATAGAAACAACGCAGGTAAATTTTAAAGCTTTTAATGTAACTTATTTAACTTTACATGTTTAAGCCGTAGCTTATGCTGACTTAACAAACACTCATATACCAGGATATGATCATCACAGCTGTTATGAATAAATAAAGTGGAATATTAATATTTATTATTACAGATCTTCTAGAAATAACGAGAACTTCGTTGACGATCAGCGATGGTCGAAGATAATGAAGAAATTATCCAAAGTAAAGAGCAGGCCAGCATCTGGTTATCGATAAATAAAAAGCGTCTGTTCTAAACTAAAGTACTTAAGAGTAATGTCCCGAGCTTGTGAAAGCTCCGCAATGCTAGCTGTCTCAGTGTAGAACCAGAAGGAATAGGAATTAGTTTTGTGAGTATTTTTGATTGAATATGGAAGAAGTTATTCTTTTCGCTCGTGAGATAAAATAGATTTGTGCCATATCTTTTGTGAATTAATTAATGTTACAGGATAAGCAAGATAATTGCTATTCCGGTTCCCAAAACTTCAGTTAAATCGGTCCTGGAAATGTTGAAAGTGTGAGAGAACCTTCGGATTAATTTAAACAGGAGTTAAAATAGATTAAAGACGCCTGTGAAGTGGAATTTAGCGAGAGCCGGACCCTCTCCAGCAAGTAAATAAATCACCTTTTCCTTAATGAAAGGGACAAGTAAATTACTGAAAATAAATCTGATTTTCATTTCTCATAAATTTAAAAGTGGGGAAACGTAATAATATAGTAAAATTTAAATTTCATATATAATACCAAAAATGTTTTCAGGCTTCTATACTGCATGCCGCCATTGCTTTACCCTCCCCACCACTTTTACAGCTGCTCAAAAGCAAGCAGCTGTAAATATGTTTCCAACTTGCGCACAAAAGCACGTCAGTCGATTATTTATGACAGTAGGATGAAGCGCCGCCTATTGCAAATGAATCAAAAGGACGGGATTGCTTTGGTACCTTCACATATCAGAAAGTATTTTTATTACGTATACAAAAGAGCTTGAATTAACTTTCATGTTATATTTTGGATTTATTTCAGATTAAGATTGAGTGTTAGAGATTGAGATCAAATGGTCTGAAAGTACGATGCCGTGCGAATGAAATAATATAGGTGCTCGGTCTTGCTATTCGACATAATTATGATTCTAAGGAATCGGAAGAACGTTGTTTCGTTCTATTTTTCATTGACTTATTTTTGCTGAATTCGCTACTTTATATTTACGTAGTGCATTGTGTGGTGTATTCTTGCTGTTTGTATAGAATATGTATGAGTTTGTAATGTGTTTTATGGTTTTTTAAATTTTTATCTTGTTCATGTCTTTATGCTTCAAAGTCGTAGTTTTACATGTTTAAGTTTGTTGATAAAGTCACGTATATTTTTTGGCATTTTTTGTTTTCTTTTCTTTCGTCCGTCTTTTTTTCTTAGCTCTGTATCAAAAGAAAGCTTTTTACATCTGATGTAATTTTTACGAGTGTGTTTGGATATTGTAGATAAAAAAACGAAGTAAAGGATGGTGGTAGAAAGCAATATTTGTTGCAAGTGTTTAATTTTAAGTATCCTTGATGACAGAATGAGCAATGCTATCATCACAAGTTGGTTAATCAGTGCAAATTTATCAAGTGGTAGCGCGTTTCGTACTTACCAGATTTGTAGACAGGACGAGACGCTAAATAGCATTTTTTAGTCTCTAGGGTATGCCTGTCTATTTTTTGAACATACAAAAGGGATAGTTGCAGACACATTTCAGAGGTTAGAAAGTGTATTTTTGAAGAGGGAAAACAGAATCATTTCAGATCATGATTGTATTCTTTGCACCATTTCTTGCACAGACGTTGGCGACTTTTTTTGCATATCACAGTAAGAGACTGGAAACTTTGCCGTATAAAATATTGCATAAGTTCGAGAAGTCATAATGAACCAAGATGTCAATGATATAAGGTAATAGAGCTATGAAGAAAGAAAATTTCAAATCGTGTGTTTACTGATTTTAGAAGCAAATTTGTGGCGAAAAAATAATTTTTATTACTTTCATCAACGCCAGTTTTTTATTAAAAAAAGAGCATTGAAAAATTTCTCTATAAAGTTGTATTCATTGTCCTATGGTATTGATAGGTACCATTTCGTCACTGCTTGAACTTTTTAATACCATCTGATGACTTTTTTTTACATCAAGATTTTTGAAGGATATTTTGCGTGAATGTTCAGTCTTATTCTATTTTTGTGAACTGAACATAGTTTTGCTTGACTATTACACATAAAATTTCTTGTTCTATATACTGAAGCAGACTATTCCCTCATGCATAGCGCACGTCCTGGTTAAAGACAAAAATGTCATTCTCAGAATTTACAGATCATTTCAAAACTTTCATCATAAAATGAAATACAATATACATGTTAAGACTGGAATCTTTTGTTCATTAATTCAAGAATGAAATGAAGCGATGCAAAGGAATAGCAGAATCAATGATGTTCATGTGGAATATTTCAAAATTCAGATGCTAATCTTTAACAGATCAATAATCAGCTTAAAATACTTTTTGTAATAATGTCAGTAAGAGGCCAGTGATATGACCTCATTTCAGATATCATTGTGTATTCGCTGAAGTAAGCACTATAGTGGACACTGTAAAGTTCACAAAGCCTTTTGGTATTTGTCGCGCTGTGAGTGCACGGCTCACTCATTTTTAGGAAAAAAATTTTGATTGACAATCAAAATATGCGATCCACAATTTCTATCCGGTTCCGGCTTATTAAAAGTGAATCAAGTCGTCACCGGAAGCTTACCAGGTTAAAATTGTAAAAAAACTTCCAAATCAGTTTAAACAAGACTTACACGTGCTGATGAACAACTCCTATGAAGTAGAAATCAACAATTAAACCTTCTCAATCGGTAAATAATCACGTTCTTAAATGAAAGAAATAAAAAAATGTGTTATTTTAATTTCTCAAATAAATTTAAAAGTGGTAAAAAATGACAATACAGTAAACTTTCAGTCTGTGGCATATTATCGTTTTGAATATATTTAGTTTTTTATTTTACTTTCATAGCAAAATTTACCAGTGATATTATCACTTTGCGAGCTAATGCCCACTTGAATGAAGTACAGTTATATACAAAAAAAGTTAGACAGTACTGGTAGTGCTTTACTCTAGCTAATGAAATTATTTTTACTTGAAAGTATTTGAGAAAAAAGTCAGAATAAGTGAAAACTCGTTGATTTCCGTAACTTATTTTAGTAACGAATATTTTTATACTTAATATTAATAGGATTCTTTTGTATTCAGTGTTATGACGTATAGGCACTTATGTTTATTATTTTTTGACAACTCAATACTTGTATTCAAATATATAATTTTAGCAGTTTCGAATTAATGTAATTAAAGTACTTTATACTATCATTTCTATTATTTATAATTAAAATCGAACGTGCCACTTACAAATTTATAACTTATGCTACAACCTCTCAATATTTCCACCTCATCACACTTAGCACTATGCAGTGACGTTAAAATTTTGGTGAAGTTGACTATTAAAGTTGAACTGATTTTTATATAATGAACCTTGAAATAGTACCCTAACAATATTGTGATGCAAAATAGAACAAAAGGTCATTTTAAATGATAACTACAGTTTTAGTTAACAGCATCGAAATCACGGAACATAAGTTTGAATTAAATTCTGAAGTCATCTCTGTTAAGGCGCATTTTTCCGATAAAACCCAAAGTATTTTCCCATGAAAGAGCAGGCTCTGCTACACTAAGTGTGAAG